AACTTAATTATTCAAGTTTATTTTAATATTTATGCTGGTCAAATGACCACAATATATGCGACTAATACCTATGCAATGCACACAAATTAATCAATTAAGTCCAAAGCGTCCATTTTTTTAATGAATTGAAATTTTAAAACATTTTAACATTTAAATATAAATAGTTTTTGATATTGCTGGAATTTACTTTACAGATATGCGAAATTCTAGTAAATTAATGAATTTTCATAAAATTTGAATTTTAAATTTGAAATAAAAATTAATTATAATTGTGAGAAAGAATTAAAACTGTCAAACATTAAATATTTGAATAGTTTTGCTAATCAAATATTCATTAAAACTTAATTATTAAAGTCTATTTTAATATTTATGCTGGTGAAATGACCACAATATATGCGACTAATACCTATGCAATGCACACAAATTAATCAATTAAGTTGAAACTATCCATTTTTTTTTTTAAAGAAATGAAATTTTAAAATATTTTAACATTTAATTATAAATAGTTTTTGATATTGCTACAATTTATTTTGTAGATTATTATGCAAAATTCTAGGTAAATTAATGAATTTTAATAAAATTTAAATTTAAAATAAAAATCAATTATAATTGTGAAAATGAATTAAAACCGTCAAAAATTAAAAATTTAAATAATTTTGCTAATCAAATATTGATTAAAACTTAATTATTAAAGTTTATTTTAATATTTATGCTGGTCAAATGACCACAATATATGCGACTAATACTTATGCAATGCACACAAATTAATCAATTAAGTTCAAAGTATCCATTTTTTTTAATGAATTGAAATTTTAAAACATTTTAACATTTAATTATAAATAGTTTTTGATATTGCTACAATTTATTTTGTAGATTATTATGCAAAATTCTAGGTAAATTAATGAATTTTAATAAAATTTAAAATTGAAATAAAAATCAATTATAATTGTGAAAATGAATTAAAACCGTCAAAAATTAAAAATTTAAATAGTTTTGCTAATCAAATATTGATTAAAACATAATTATTAAAGTTTATTTCATTATTTTTGCTGGTCAAATGACCACGGTGTGTGTGACCAGAACATTGCAACGCATAAAATTTAATCAATTAAGTACAAAATATCTATTTTTTTAATGATTTGATAGTATTTAATTTTTTAACATTTAATTAAGATTAAATTTGATAATAGCATTGTTTTTTTCCCAGTTTATTACGCAAAAATTCTTACAAATTATAGGATTTTTACACAAAAATCAATTTTAAATTTAAATTAAAAATTAGCATTAATTGTAAAAATGAATTAGATCTATGACTAATTAAAAATTTTATTATTTTAACAAGTGAAATTTTAATCAAAACTTTAAACTTTAATTATTTATGCTGACCAAATGACCACGATGTATGTGGCTATGCAATGTACACAAATTAATCAATTAAGTTTAAAATATCTCTTTTTTTTAAAGAATTGAAATTTATAAATATTTCAACATTTAATTAAAATTAATTTTGAAAATACATGGATTCATTTCGCATTTTAATATGCAAAAGCTTTTAAAAATTGTACAAATTTCCTAAATTTTGATACTTGGATTAGAAATAAAAATAAATTCTAATTTAAGAATGAATTAAAACCGTCATTACTTAAATTTAATTAATTTTGCTAATAAAAAATTGATTAAAACCTAATTTTTAAAGTTTATTTTTTGTTATTTATGCTTGTCAAATGGCCACAATGTATGTTAGCCAGTATCAATGAAATGAATAAAAATTAATCAATTAAGTTAAAAATATCTCGTTTTTTTAAATGAATTGATATTTCTCAACATTTTAACATTTAATTAAAATAAATTTTTCGCATTATTAGAATTTATTTTATAGTTTAACATGAAAAATTCTAATAAATTAGTGTTTTTTCATAAAATTTAAATTTGAAATTTGAAATAAAAATTAATTATAATTGTAAGAAAGAATTAAAACCGTTGCAAATTAATAATTTAATTAATTTTGCCTATCAGATATTAATTAAAACTTAATTATTAAAGTTTATTTTATTACTCATGCTGATCAATTGACCAACTGTAAATGACCAGTACTCATGCAATGCATATAAATTAATCAATTAAGTACAAAATATATAACACAGTAACACACAGCGAAGATAAAGTATATATATAACTCTATAAGATTTTAGTAGTAGTGAAGCTTTATAACTGTATGCTTAAGTTAAGAAGGTACTTTCTACATATTTTCATTTATTGTATTGCTTTCATTTCATCTATTTTAGTACTAAGTTTTAATATTTTAGTCGCAACACAAGACACCACCCATGCTATTATTGCAATTACAACTACTGTTGCTATTTTAGGATAGCCCGAATGAGACTTGTGACTGTTTCAGTTATTTTAAAAATTTAATTAATTTTGCTAACAAAATATTGATTAAAACTTAATTTTTAAAATTTATTTTATTATTATTTTTGCTGGTCAAATGACCACGGTGTGTGTGACCAGTGCTTATGTAACGCTTATAAATTAATAAATTAAGTTCAAGTTATATAATTTTTTTAATGATTCGATTCTTTTCAATATTTTGACATTTAATTAAAATGATTTTTTGATATTGCTAGAATTTATTTCACAGTTTAATGTACAAAACCCTAACAAATTATTGAATTTTCATAAAATTTGATATTTAGATTTGAAATAAAAATTAATTTCAATTGTAAGAATGAACTAAAACCGTGATAAATTAAAAATTTAATCAATTTCGCTAATCAAATATTGATTAAAAGTTAATTTTCAAAGTTTATTAATTATTTATGACGATAAAATGACCAGTCGTGAATGACCAGTACCTATGTAATGCATATAAATTGATGAATTAAGCTCGAAATATCTAACTTTTTTTAATGAATATATAATTTTTAACAGTTTTAACATTTAATTAAAATCAAAATTGATAAAACTAGAAATTATTTCCCCTTTAATATACAAAAACTCTTCCAAATTATAAAATTTTCACCAAAATCAATTTTCAGATTTAAAATAAAGCTTAAACCTGAGCCTAAGTATATCCTAAGCCTAAGCCTAAGTATACACTAAGCCTAAGCCTAAGCATTATTTTATTATTTAAGATGTCAAATGACCACAATGTATGTGACCAGTTCCCGCACTATGCGTATATAATAATCAATTTTTTTTTATTAAATGATATTTTTTAATACTTTTAACATCCTTTGAAAGTAAATTTTGATAGTAGTAGAACTTCTTACCTAGTTTAGTATGCAAATACCCGTACAAATTATGGAATTTTTATAAATGTATTATTTAAATTTAAAACAAAAATTAATTTTAATTGTAGTAATGAATTAAAATCGTGATAGAATTAAAAATTTAATTAATTTAAGCTAATAAAATATTGATTAAAACATAATTTTTAAAGTTTATTTAATTATTTGTGCTGATCAAATGACCAACCGTAAATGACCAGTACTTATGCAATGCATACAAATTAATCAGTTAAGCTCAAAATATCCAAATTTTTTTATTGAAATGATATTTTTAAATTTTTTAACATTTAATTAAATTAAATTTTGACAAATCCGGGATTTATTTCATAGTTTAATATACAAAAGCTTTTGAAAATTATACAGTTTTCTTAAATTTTGGTATTTAAATTCGAAAAAAAAGATAATTATAATTGTTAGAATAAAACAAAACCGTGATAAATAAAGAAATTAATTAATTTTGCTAATAAAATATTGATTAAAACCTAATTTGTAGTGATTATTTTATTATTTATGCTGGTCAAATGACCACAATGTATGAATAAAAAGTACTCATGAAATGAATAAAAATTAATCAATTGAGATGAAAACATCTATTTTTTTATTGAATTGATATTTTTTAATGTTTTAACATTTAATTCAATTGAAATTTGACAATGCCGGGTTTCATTTCATATTCCTACTAATTGTAGGATTTTCATAAAAATCAATATCTAAATTTGAAATAAAATTTAATTTTGATTGTTCAAATTACCTGATTTTTTTTATGAATTGATATTTTTCAATACTCTAACATTTAATTAAATTAAATTTTGACAATTCCGGCATTTATTTTATAGTTTAATATACAAAACCCTAACAAATTATTGAATTTTCATAAAATTTGATATTTAAATTTGAAATAGAAATTAATTTCAATTGTAAAAATGAATTAAAACCGTGGTAAATTAAAAATTTAATCAATTTCGCTAATCAAATATTGATTAAAAGTTAATTTTCAAAGTTTAATTATTTATGACGATCAAACGACCAGTCGTGAATGACCAGTACCTATGCAATGCATAAAAAATAATCAATTAAGCTCGAAATACCTAACTTTTTTTAATGGATATATATTTTTTAACAGTTTTAACATTTAATTAAAGTAAAATTTGATATTACTAGAAATTATTTCGTAGTCTAATATACAAAAAAGGTTTTGATTCATTGCAAATCGTAAAATTTTCATAAAATTCGATCTTAAAATTTCAGACAAAAACTAATTTGCTGCAGAAATGAATTAAATCTACGATAAATTAAAAATTTTATTAATATCACTTCTCGAATATTAAAAAAAACTTTGTTATTAAAGTTTATTTTCTTATTTATATATCCTTACCTTTCTGTCTTATTTATATATCCTTACCTTTTTGTATGCTTGAGGAAATTAATTGAAGTAATTAATTAGATAAAGTTCTGAGCAGGTAATACTTATTTGATTGCTCTTATTTGAAAAAAATACTTATTGAAAGAAAAAAACATGTTAATTACATTGATAGCAGTGAAAAGAATGAAGCGTTCTGAAGGATTTGTAATCAGAATGAGATTTTCAATTTATTTTTTTATTTCTATTCAAAAATTAATCTCGTAAGTGCCAATCTTCCGATACCTGTTCAATGAAAAAATTTCGACAAATACATCCATCATTCAGAGCATCGTAGATTTTAAATTCTTTTATTCGTTGGATATTTCAAGCTTTGTACAAATTTTCCGGATCGTTTCATCACATATATTACTTTTGCGACCTAACGCTTTACGCTGTTGGATATATTTGCTCTTTGCTTCCTGTAATTTAGACAAAATTCACTTCAAAATTTTTAAGACATGGATCTGTCGAAAGATAGGATATGATGTGCTAAATCAATGAAAAATACTGAATCCAACTTTGTTGGAGCTTATTTTAGGCTTCTCCTCACTTTTTGTTGTTTTGGCTCGATAAGACATCTCTTGATCGTCTGAATGATTAACTTTGAAAAGGCTGCTTTTGTTTCTTTTTCCATGTCTGATGTTTTCAGTTATGTTGTAAATCTCATGTAAACGATTTGTAGGAGTCAAAGAGAGAATTGTTATGATTTGCTTTGAAGATAAAGAATTTTATCAAAATTGATCTACAAAGGCCTTTTTTCTTTTAAAAAGTTTTTTCTTTTTCTTTGTCTCTTTCGGGAAATGGATGGTAGCCAACTGACAACAGAAACAGAATTTACTACCACAGAAGAAAGCTCACTGCCTAAGAGAACATACGATTTCTTCCCTCTGCTCATCATTTCTATCCTCAGCTGTGAACATTACGAATCGCAATACCTGTATGGAGCAAGCAGTTGTCGCAAATTGCTGTTGCAAGCAGTTCAAAATTTGAATTTTAAATTTGAAATAAAAATTAATTATAATTGTAAGAATGAATTAGAACAGTAAATTTATTTAATTTTGCTACTGAAATATCATTCGGAACTTAATTATTAAAGTTTATTTAATCATTTGTGCTGACCAAATGGCCACAATATATATGACCAGTACCCATGCAATGCATAAAAATTAATCAATTAAGCTCAAAATATCTTTTTTTTAATGATCTGATATTTTTTAATATTTTAACATCTAATTAAAATAAATTTTGACCAACCCGGGATTTATTTCACAGTTTAATATACAAACACTTTTAAAAATTATACGATTTTCTTAAAATTTGATATTTATATTTGAAATAAAAATTATTTTTAATTGTTAGAATGAATTGAAAACGTGACTAATTAAAAATCCAATTAATTTTGCAAATGAAATATTACTCAGAACTTAAGTATTAATGTTTATTTCATTACTTATGCTGGTCAAATGATCACAATGACTAATACCCATCCAATGCATAAAAATTAGTCAATTAAGTTCAAAATATTTACTTTTTTAAATGATTTGACATTTTTTATATATTATATATATACATATATATATGTATATTAAAATTTAAATAAAATAAATTAAAAAAAATAAAAAAAATTAAAATAAAATCTAATAAATTAATGAAAAAAAAAATTAAAATAAAATCTAATAAATTAATGAATTTTCATAAAATTTAAATTTTAAATTTGAAACAAAAATTATTTGTAATTGTAGGAATGAATTAGAACATTGGCAGATTAAAAATTCAATTAATTTTGCTTCTAAATTCAGTTTTATTCAGTTTTGCTAATCAAATATTGATTAAAACTAATTTATTAAAGTTTATTTTAATATTTATACTGGTCAAATGACCACAATGTATGCGACCAGTACCTATGCAATGCATAAGAATTAATCAAGTTCAAAATATTTACTTTTTTTAATGATTTGACATTTTTTAATATTTTAAAATTTCATTAAAATGAAATTTGACAATACCGGGATTTTTTTATAGTTTAATATGAAAAGACTTTAAAAATTTCACAATTTTCAGAAAATCTGATATTTAAATTTGAAATAAAAATTAATTTTAGTTGCAGCAATGAATTAAATGTAGGAAAATTTAAAAATTTTATTAATTTCACTTGTTAAACTCAATTATTAATTTTTATTTCATTATTTATGCTGGTCAAATGACCGCAATGTGCGTGACCAGTACCTATGCAATGCACACAAACTAATCAATTAAGTTCAAAGTATCCATTTTCTTTTAATGAATTGAAATTTTAAAACATTTCAATATTTAAATATAAATAGTTTTTGATATTGCTACAATTTATTTTGTAGATTATAATGCAAAATTCTAGGTAAATTAATGAATTTTAATAAAATTTAAATTTGAAATAAAAATCAATTATAATTGTGAAAATGAATTAAAACCGTCAAAAATTAAAAATTTAAATAGTTTTGCTAATCAAATATTCATTAAAACTTAATTATTAAAATTTATTTTATTATTCATGCTGATCAATTGACCAACTGCAAATGACCAGTACCCATGCAATGCATATAAATTAATCAATTAAGTTCAAAATATCTCTTTCCTCTTAATGAATATATATTTATTAACAGTTTTAACATTTAATTAAGTTCAAATTTGACAATACCGGCATTTATTATATAGTTTAATATGCAAAAACTTTTAAAAACTGCACAATTTTCTTAAATTATGTTATTTAAATTTGGAAAACAAATTAATTACATTTGTAAGAATGAAATAAACCCGTGACAAATAAAGAATTTAATAAATTTTGCTAATAAAATATTGATTAAAAGTTATTTATTAAAGTTTTTTTTTAATATTTTATGCGATTTTTTTTTATGCGGTTTAAATGATTTTGTTATATGCATTGCACTAGGGCGGGTCATATATTTATGTGGTCATTTTATAGTTAAAATAATAAAATCCGCTTTTGTAATTAAGTTTTGCTCAAAAATTCATCAGCAAAATTATTAAAACTTTCAATTAATAATGGTTTTAATTCAATTTAAGAATTAAAATAAAATTTGATTTCAAATTTAAATTTGAATTTTTTAAAAATCTTAAAATTTGTGATAGTTTTCTTACATTTAACATCAAAATTGGTTCTAAATTATCAATTTTAATTTTTATTAAGTCTCAAAACTGCTAAAAATAGCAATATTTTGAAGTTAATTCATTATGTTATATGCATTGCACTGGGGCGAGTCACATATGGTTGGTCATTTTATAGTTTAAATATTAAAATATGCTTTTATAATTAAGTTTTGCGCAAAAATTCATCAGCAAAATTATTAAAACTTTCAATTAATAATGGTTTTAATTCAATTTAAGAATTAAAATTAAATTTAATTTCAAATTTAAATTTTGAATTTTTTAAAAATTTTAAAATTATGATACTCATTAATCATTGATATGTTGGCCACAATCTGTGATATAGTTAATTATAAAGGTCTTGTTCCAAATCTTTAAGTCAAAAACCATCCATGGATGTGCAAGCGTAACACAAACTTTTTTTGCAGTGTTCCCAGACCACAATGGCCAAATTTAAATAGTACTACAAATGTGATATCAGTTCTAACTTGATTATCAATTCTAATGTGTATCTGTATCAATTTTAACTAGCAAAACTGATACAGATATGATAATACTTATGGTGTTATGAAGAGACCTGATAAGTCTAGAAGTATTACTCTTTAGCTCTACTAATCTAGAACTATTTGCAATTTTATTTGTCGAGAAGTATTACTCGTTAATTTTATTGATCTAGAAATATTACTTTGTAGTTTTATTGAGTGACATCAAGTTTGCAAGTTTTCGGCTCTTAGCCATTTGCCATGTTGAAATCAGTAGTAACTGCACGGCTGTTCCGTCACTGCTTCAATAATTCTCCCAATCGTTCCATTTCTTCATCTCCTCGTCTACTTTCACTTCTAGTGCTATCACCAATCTGGCTTGAACTTCTTAGCTTACTTCTTCTGGCTTCAGCCACATCACAGTTAAGTTCTGGCCCATTACAACAGTCGCAGCCACGTGGATTAGATACCGAACAATGTCAGACGAATAGTCCCGGTGATTGTAATCCATACTCATGTCGTGGTACCTGTGAAGGACGATATGTTCGATTTTGGGATAGTAGACTAAAAATTGATCGAACTGTGAAAAGTTGTCAATGCATGCAAGTAATATCATTATTGCTATAAAAATTAGATTATTATTTTTTGTTTTCTTTTTTATACTTAACAAATAAAGATAATAAATAAGACTTTTATAATCTCTGATAAAGTAGTAATATTTTTGAGATTTGAAGAATTTGAAAGAATCTAGTATTAATTTCAAAATTTAGAAAGATAACTTAAAAATTAACTTCTTATTCATTTTTTTGAAAATTATCAACTATTTGAAATATATTCAAATTCAAATGATTCATCATTTTGTTTTAGTTAATAATCTTTTAATCGTCAATTAAAATTATAATTTTCTTTTTCTCTATTCCTCCATATTTCCTTCTAATAATATTCTGATGACATTTAGCGTCAACTTACATTATTAGTTATTTGCACTTGGCCATACAATAATAATAATAATAATAATAATAATAATAATAATAATAATAATAATAATAATAATAATAATAATAATAATAATAATAATAATAATAACAATAATAATCATAATAATAATAACAATGATAATAATAATAAGAATATTAATAACAATGATAATAATAATAATAATAACAATGATAATAATAATAATAACAATGATAATAATAATAATAATAATGATAATAATAATAATAATAACAATGATAATAATAATAATAATAATAATAATAATAATAATAATAATAACAATGATAATAATAATAAGAATAATAATAACAATGATAATGATAATAATAATAATAATAACAATTATAATAATAATAATCATAATAATAATAACAATAATAATAATAAGAATAATAATAACAATGATAATAATAATAACAATGATAATAATAATGATAATAATAATAATAATAACAATGAAAATAATAATAATAATAATAATAACAATGATAATAATAATAATAACAATGATAATAATAATAATAATAACAATGATAATAATAATAATAATAATAATGATAATAATAATAACAATGATAATAATAAAATAATAATAATAATAACAATAATTTTCTTATATTGTTGAAAAGATAATAACAAAGCATTCTTGTTTCTTATTTATTCATTTTCTTAATTTAAACAATTTTAACATTTTTTGTTATACATTTTCACTTATAAATACAAACTTCCACATAAAATTGTTTTGCAATCATTTTAGAAAGATTTTCTTTTTCTTTTCCAATCTTCAATCATTAATCACTTTTAATTGTTATGTCAGAAATTAGAACAAAATATCTTTACGCTCTACCATTTGTCTATTTTTCCCAGTCTTCCGCATCGGAATTTATTTCATTTCATTTTTTAAACATTACAAACATAAAAAAAGAAAGAAAAGAAAAACATTAACTTACTTTAAATTGTAACTAATAATTGCTACAAATTTTATATTGTTTAAAAGTTGCATAAATCTTTTAATTAAACTCAAGGAATTCTATATTTTATCTCTTCTTCTCTTCATCTACTTAAATGAATCATATTGAATATTATTTGTATATGGAAATATTATTATTTTATAATTGAAATTTAATAATTAAAATTGTATAATAATACATTTAGGAGCCAATATGTAGTTTAATTGGAATGAATGCATATACCGGTTGTCGAACTTATACTATGCTATCATCATTAGCACAACGATTCATCCGATTATGGACAATGAATGATGCTAAAAAATTTGATAATCAACGTTCCGCACTTCTTGTCTTGCGTTTTGATCGTTCGTGGGATCGATTACGACATGATCAATTGCTTAATGGTAATTCAAAATTTTGTTGTCGTACAGCAAATATTACTTTTTCAAATTCTATTATTTCTCGTTATACATCATTATCAGTTTTATTGCCTATTTCATTTGTTTTGCTTTTATAAATTAGATCATAAATATTGATCAGTATTATTTGACTTTCTTTGTATTTTTTGGAACGATGTATTTAGATGTAATGATTAGCTTTCAAATAGATTGCTTGAATGAAACAAATGAATTAGAAATGAAAGTGAATAATATTTGATGTGAAAAAAAAAGAAAAAAATTGTTACTATCAAATATTTTGTGTAAATAAAAGATAAAAATTGAAAAAAAAAAAGAAAAAAATTGTTACTATCAAATATTTTGTGTAAGTAAGTCGATCAATGATGAAAGACATAGTAAATGTAAGTATGATATTTGTTTGAGTAATATCATTTGGTTGTGATAAAAGTTAGCTATGATTTAAGCAGAGAAATTTAGAGCTTTATTAATTTAAAAGTTTTACTACAATAATTTGCGAGTTTATATAAAAATAATTTTATCAATGATATTTGCATCCATTCAGTTATTGAAATGATTACTTCCTGGTTATTTAAATGATTAGTTAATGGTATATATGGTTTGATCTCGATTCCACTTCCTTCAATCTATCATTTTGATTTCATTATCAGATATTTTGAAGAAAATTTCGTCAAAATTCTAATTGCATGTTTAAAAAACAAAAACTTTCTGTGTTTTTTAAGAAAAAATCACATATGAAAAAGTTTTAAGAGCTTATTTCATGAAACTTAGCTGAAATTTGAAGGTTACTGGACTTTTTATGGAGCAACATAAAATGACGAATATCTGAAATTTACAAAAAAATTCGGAATCAATATTTTAATTTTAGGTCGCATACGCTATTTCTCAGATAAGCAATTACTTAATGTTATGTATATTCAAAAAAAAAAAAATTTTTTTAAATCGATTAAATATGATAGTGCATAAATATTGTAGAATTTTTGTTGCAAGCAAAAAAGGAAAGAAAATATAACTTATAAAAGTAATGTGGAATAGTTTTATGTGATATACAAGCAAATGAATATTTTCTATCAAAAGTTAGTAATTTAGAACACGTTACAAGCATTGTATTTATGGAATATTTATTAATTATTTTATAAATTTTTAACCTGAAATAAAGCTGAAATAAATTATTAACCTCAAATTACATCTAGGAAATATCTATTTTAACAAACTTTTCAATTCAAAATGAAGCAAAGATTAATATGTATCGCATCATCTGCATTAGATAAATGTTATGATAGTAAGATTTTTCATCTTTTATATTTCATCTTACGTAGGTGGAAAATTGAAATATTTTAAATTGTTAAATTTAAAAAAAAAAATTAAATTGTTAGAAAAAATGCTAAATCTTACATGCGTTCCGGTTAAATGAGATACTAATTAGGCGAATTAAAGTAAATTTAATAATGACCATATGTTGAAATTTTAAATTTGTAAAAACTTGAAAAAGCTATATTAAAACAATATATATAATTTCGTTAAATATGGATTAAAAAATGAATGATTTAAATAGCTTTTGGATAAGAATATAAAAAATATATAAATAAAAATATACATGCTGGAATTAAATTGAATTAGATTAAAGTTCACTACCAATATCTATAATCTCTCTAATTAGAAAATCAAGATCTTCTTTGATGATTGCCTGATTTGAAATGATCATCCGGAAGAAATTCGGTCTTTGCTTATCCGGTTGATAGCCAACCATCGTTGTTCCACGTTCCATCATTTTTGCTTTAATTTTTGGTGCTATCTATAACACAGATACTTCAATATAATCAGTCAAAAATAATTTCTAAAAAAAAAAATTAAAATTGGAAAAAAGCTATTAATTGGTAAAACAAAAAATTAGTCAATACATTAATATTTATTATTGAATAAATTTTATAAGCAAACGAAGGTATTTCAATCATTTATATTTTAGCTATTTAAGTGAGATTTTTGATGATAATAATTTTGTTGCAACTCAAAAATATTATTAAGAAAATTTCATTCAACCAAAAATGATAATCAAAACTGATGCTATATTCATGAAAATTAGTTCAGAAACATGTTGAATGAATTATAGTAACAATAAGAAATGATTTATAACAATAAATAAGGAGTAAATCAAAGGAAAAGTCAAATAAAAAGTTAAGTATATAATAATAAGTTGAAAATAAACAAAGTAAGCTAAGTTAAAAGTAAAAGTTAAAAATAAATCAATGAATTAGCAATAACCATATAGAATACTGTAGTATTACTTTACATCTGTTATGTTATCAACATAATATATTAATTTGTTACTTAAGAAAATATTTATGTAATTTTAAATAAGCAATCAAAAATTAATTTATCAAAAAAAAAAAAAAATAGAAATGACAAACCTTTTCCAATCGAGCATTTCGTTCAGCTTTTTCCACATTTCGAAGACTTGGCGGTATATACCAAAAGCAAATATTTAAAAATTCCGGCTATATAAAACAAAATATTTCATTCACTGCGACAAGAGAAATTATTATCAAATTTATTTATTAAAAAAAAAAAAAAAAAAAATTGTAAAAAAAATTTAATCTTTATTTAGCAAACAATGATAAGTGCAAAAAGAGAGAAAAAAAAAACTCTCAGAAAGTTTTTCTTCAAAATAATTTTGTTAATTTAATCATTTTAAAATGGATTATTGTTAAAGAATTTTTTTTCCAAACTATCACTTACCGGATCAACAACCAATTCATAACCTTCAGTTTCTCGAATTCGAGCTGTGAAGTAAGCTGCCAAATCCATTAATCGATTAATTTGTCGACGGTATCCTGTCATACCCTTAATTTGAATTTTTTTAAAAATTTTTTTAGACATAGTTTATAAATTTGTTGTAACAAATAATAGTAGAAAATTTCATTCACACTTTTAGTATGTTTACATTTATGAAATTTATTCCTATTAATTGATATATTTTAATATAATGCAAGTTTTTCTTGATTTCAGTTAATTAATTAAATTCATCACACTAAATGCTATGATAAGTGATAAAATTTCCCATCAAAAAAAAAAGTAATTTAAAAATATCGAAAACGATTTAAATTGAAACGAAATTGATTTTAATTGAAATTCAATTTTTTAATCAATATAAAACTATGATTAATTTATTGTAAAAGTTTGATATAATATAACACACATACATATTGAATTTCATATTTATGGTTGAATTGTATACTTAAATAATTAAATGCAAATCGTTTTCGTTTTGAAAACTTTTTTTTTGATATGAGCGTTACAAATTTGATTAATTCTTAGCAAATGCTTATCACTTTATTATTTTTATTTTTGCTAAAAGCTAAAAAATTGCTCAGATTTTCAAAATTTTTTTTTAGGAGCAAACATTTGTAGCATTCTTTTAAAGTTTGAAAATTTTTTGAATTAATTAATTTTATTACTTTCTTTTTTAGTGAACAAAGCTTGAAATTTTACGAATACTTTATAGTTAATGTGAAAAATAAACTGGTTGATAACATATTTTATTACATTGTTAATAGTTTGCTCTTAAAAAGAGGAAGAAAAAGAGAGAGAGAGAGAGAGAGAGAGAGAGAGAGAAAAAGGCAATTCTAGAAAATTGCAAAGATAAATAAGTTAATATTTTAATTTTATCATGAAATAAGAAGCAAAAATTCATTCCAAAGTATTAATTAAAACATTTTCAAATTTGTTTCTAAAATTTTTATAATGCTAAATAGTAGTGAAATAAATTAATTCATTCGTCTTTATAAAAAAATAAATAAAAATAAACATTTTTCAGTGAAATAACGATAAAATAGCAAAGAATGGATGATTCTATATGTTAATTATTGTATTTAACAATATTTTTAGTATAATTCAAATGCCATTTATGTATTTTATGACAATTAAATACATTGCTTAATAAAAAAAAAAAAAAATAATAATGAATAAGTTTACCTTTGACCTCCACATTAACCAAAGTTTGAAGATATCGTTATGTCGACCACATTGCATTGCCTTATCACCAGTATCAAAACTAACATCATAAGGCTTATCTTGTTGAAATAAGTAATCAGCTGACATTTGATTAGTTTGAAATAAAAGACCCTAAATTTGTTCAAATTATTATTTTCTTTTTTTGTTGAAATGATTATTCAAAATATTATCATAGCATTAAAATACTTAATTTTTTTGATATTTTATGGAGAAATAAATAATTATCAATTGAGGACAAAAAAAAAATATCAATCAAAATTTTTTTTTTTATATTGAAATATTGAATTAATTCATTTCAAATTATAGAAATGAATTTTTGCTATACTTACTTCTTGTTTAATAAAACAGGCACTGCATTGTAATAAAGCTCCCATTAATTTATGCGGATTCCAGGTAACCGAATTAGCTCTTTCAATACCGCAAAGTTTATGACGATGTTCCGGTGATAGTAATAAACCACCACCCCATGCAGCCTACAAATTTTTGCTTTTTTTTTAAAAAAAAAAGAAAAACTTTAATTAAAAATTTTTGAAATTTAAATTAGTATGAAATCTTTTAAAAAATTAACTTATGATATGAGAAAAAAAAATTTTTTTTCTCATTTTTATTTAAAAAAAAGTATCATTCATGTTTAACCTAAATTTAGTGAATAGTATGATAATTTGAGAAATGCCATAAAAAAAAATAAATGTTTGAATTAGCATTATCGATTATAAAATTAAAATTAAATTATAATATTTGCGACAAAAAAAAAAAAATTCAAACATCAACATGAAGCCATAATTTATGGCGATCACATATATCAGCAATTTGTGGTATTGGATCCCATGCACCGTATACTGTTGTTCCAGCTGTTGCACAAACAAAAAACGGTTCCATACCTGAAATAGACTTGTTTTGTTCTTCTTATAATTAAAATTAACAGAAAAAAATTTTTTTTAAACTTATAAATTAAACGAAAAAAAATACAGAAATTCTTTAGTTTATGTATAAGAAAAATTATTATTTAAATAAATTTTACCATCTTTTTTACACTGTATGATGCGTTGCTCTAATGCTTCCGGTATCATTCTTCCGGATGGATCAGTTG